TTTATATCTGTCTTTTATTTCAGTATTTAGGTAATATGGGCCTCAATGAGTGAATTAAAAAGGGTTCCCTTTGTTTTTTTTTTCCAGAAGAGATTATAAATTCTTTGGAATATTATATGTAGATAATCATATCATTTGCATATAGGGATAGTTTTATTTCTTCCATTCCATATGCATGACTTTTAATTATTATTCTTACTTTATCAAAATGGCTAGTATTTCCAGCCTTTGTTGAATAAGTGTGTTAAAAGTGAATATTCTTTCATTGTTCCTGATCTTAAGAGGACAACATTCAGTCTTTCATCATTATATATGACATTAGCTGTAGGATTTTGTAGATGCTCTTTAACAAGTTAAGGTGATGCTTCTCTATTCTAACTTTTTGAGATTTCTATAATAAATGGGTGTCAAATGCTTTTACTTTATGTGATTTTCCTTATTTAGCTGTGGATGTGGTAGGTTACACTGAACTAGCTTTGTAGTCCATAATAAATTATACTTGGTCATGTTATATAATTCATTTCATACATTGTTGAAGTCAACTGCCAATAATTTGTTAAGAACTTTTGAGTCTATGTTTGTGAGAGATACTAGTCTGTAGTCTTTTACTATTGTTGTTGCTTGTTTGCTTTTGGGGGGTTTGTTTTTTTTTTTTTTGTTTTGGTGATTTGGATTAAACCCATGGCCTCACACATACTAGGCAAATGCTCTACCATTAGGATATATCCCTAGCCCCTCTCATTTCTATTTCTTGAAAAAGACCGTGTAAAATAGTTTTTAAAATGTTTGGCAAAAATCTCTTAGATTATCTTGATCTGGAGATTTCTTTGTGGGAGCTTTTAAATCATGGATTCAATTTCTATAATAGTTATAAACTATTCAGTTATATATTTCATCTTGGTTGAGTCTTGAGCTAATCACTTTTGGTTGCTAATTCAGGTGTCAGTGTTTCCCATATTTTCTCAAATGACTAAAGCAACATTTACAAAAAAGCAATTGACTTTAGTCTGGTGCTCTGACATCACATACACAAAAATCTATAGGCAATTTATAGGCAAAAACTTCTGCAATAGCAGAGAGGTAGAATTTATTAGACTGTAAAAAAATGAAAAGAAAAGGCAGAGAATATTTGAGAAGAGCATCCAGCAGGTGATATGTGAGAAAGCTGTGCTGATCAATGGTAAGGAAGCTGTTATTGATGGCTACTGTTGTGCAACACCAAACTGAAGTTGGGTTTAATTTTACATGGGTAAGCCTAGTGTAGGAATGCAGCAAAATTTTAGATGGTTAAGCCTGGTATTAAAATGCTGAAGGGATCAAATGTGTATATTGCCATTGTCCCTCAAATAGATAAATTGCAAAGGGAGGTGACTAAGGTCAACAAACATTTTGTCTACTATTTTTGGAAGGCATTCAGAGTATTTGGGACATTTCAGTTCACAACAATGAAGCCAGCAGACCAGACAGATAGGATATTCTTGAGCTTGTCCAGTTCAAGAGTGTGTGAAACCAGATTAATAGTGCATACTTTTAATCTAAGACAGTTACAGCAAAGTCACATTCCATTATTTAAAAAAACCCCTACTTTATAATCTCAGTAAAAGGCAAAGCATTCCAACCCCACCCCACCCCCCAAATCTAGCAGATGCAATACCAGTCAAATTCTATTATTCCCATATTGAAGTACTATATAATTCTTGAATTGTTCCAGAATTTTATAGTATTAAATATATGTGAAGTAAATAGGTTCTAGATTTCTGTTTGGGAATCTTTCTCAGTAGTATTTTTATATATATTATTAAGTAATTATAGTACAAAATGTAACAATAAGAAGAACATCTTTCAGATCACTTTTGTGTGCACACATACACATGTAGTTCCTTGAAAATGAACTCAGTTTTGTAACTTAAGTCACTTCTAACCTAACTCAGGAAACTCATTCTCCAATACAAGGACAAAGCTACTACTAAGAAAGACAGTAGTTTACGAAACAAAGCTAGCAAGCTCTATAGAGACAATCTGACCAAAATTGAGAACAAGTACTGAATTTCAAGCATGCTGAGGTATGCAGATGACACAGAGTGAATTAAGGTACTGCCATTGCTTATTTCTAGAAGGAAAGCATTAGAAAATCTCTAAACCACTTCTTATTCTTCTGTAAAATGGAAAAAGATCACCAAATAAATCCTGTTCTATGAAGGTCACCAATCCTTGAACTCTAGACATTGGAAGTTAGAAGGTTGCAAAATATTATTTAATCCAATATCCACATCTTTTAGATAAAGAGAAACGCAGAAAAAAGAAAGAATTTACTTAAGATCACAGTTGAGACTACAACTCAAATTTCCTAATTTCTAACCAAGTGTTCTTTATATATATTGCCTATCTTAGAGTCCAACGGATTTTTCTCATTCCTGGTTCTTCCCATAGTTTGGCGATACCTAATCATTCAATTAGGTTGGGATGAATAGAACTCAGGTGCTATTCTTCTCCCTTTCCTCTCTCATCTTCTCAACTTCATAGTTTTAATTTAACAGATAATTTAAAAAACTATTAAGGACTTAATTCAGCATAGGCAGTGAGAAAATTACCAAATCAAGTAAGGCATGCTTCCTACCTCGGAGGAATTATAAGTATAAACATTGAGTATGGTATTCTTGACACCAAAGTTGTATGTACAAAATTTGTCACCATCATCCAATCAAATTTTCTGATGGAAATCTCCTTTTTTAGTTGACTCCTTAATTTCCACAGTCATTTTTGTTACTCTGACAGGAAAGTGAATGAATATCTGGTTTCTTTACCCTTGTTCTCCTATTAACCAATTAATTCTGGAACTCTGGTAAGTCATATCTCTTCGGGCTTTATCTCCTCAATTTGCAAAATAACCTTCTGTTATTCACCTTTCTTCCTTTCTTGTTTTTTTTTTTGTGCATTTTTAAATCTTAGTGCTTTATAGTTATTCATAGTAATTGGGTTCATCCCAACAAATTCATCAAACATGCATAAAATTCGACTTCAGTTCATGATCCCCCTGCTTTTCCTTTCTCTTCCTGTCCTCCTCTTCCTTTCTTTTCAAATTTAGTCAAATTCAAGGTATTGGGTATAATCAATTTATTTCTTTTTTCATATTTCTCTGGTTTCTCTCTCCTCCTTCATGTTCATAATAGAAAAGTCTTCATTCCTGGATTATTAACAGCCTTCGAGGTTAGGTATAGCTATAACTTGTTGGAAGCAAATTTAAACACAATTTAGTCTCAGGTTATATAGATCAGACTGGAGGCTAGAAAGTTAATTAGGGAATCAATTAGAATAAAGATCAATCTTAAACTAAAAACCTGTCATTCAATTCCTTGCTAAAACTGGCTTCCATTGGCCTTTCTGATTTATTTTGAGTGACACCTTGTTTTTAGTCCATTTGGGCTGCTGTAATGAAATATCATTAAGTAGGCAGATTCTGAACAATGGACATTTATTTGTCACAGAAGAGGCTAGAAATCCAAGATCACGGTGGTCCATGGCTAAGTCCCAGTGACCTAATCACACCTCACATCCTCAACATCTTCTGCCATCACAATGTGATTGGGTCTTAACATGCGAATTTGGGGTGGACACAAACATTCAGACCACAGCACTTCTCAACTCATAGCCTTTCCTACCACACCTTCATGTCAAATGTTATCCTTCCTATCCTTGTTGCGTAAGACTTTTTACCCTTTTGTGTAAACTTTATTCTACTAGGTTTTTGTTATTGTCACTTTTTGGTTTTGGGTACTGAGGATTGAACCCCCAGGGGTTCTATACCACTGAGCTACATCCCAGCCCTTTTTATTTTTTTGAGACAAGTATCTCTAAGTTACTGAGGCTGGCCTTGAACTTGCAATCCTCATGCCTCAGCCTCCTAAGTCTCTGAGATTACAGGCAGGTACCACCACTCCTGGTTATTCTAATAGTTCTTTAAAGGCCATTTTCTTCCATGGAGTCAGTAATCTCTTCTTTCTTCTAATTCTTACACAAAATATTTAAAATACAAACAATAATTTCCTTTCCTAATTCCCTTTTTTGAATACTGCAAATGTGAAAGAGATGATATGCAAAAACTCTTGACCAACATTAATGGAAGAATAGAGTCCTTATACTCTTACAATTCTATAAAACAGTAAAATAATTTATAATACAAATTTATATTATAAATAATTTTACTATTTGCTCCTAATTTTTTTGCAAATTAAAATAATCAGATGATTGATAATCTTTTATAGAGAATTAATATATATTCCAAATTGTGTTAGAATATTTAATAAGAATATTAAAATAGATTTTCTTGGTTGTAGGCAACTTCTGATACATGATGATATCTGGACAAAAGTTTGTGACACATTAATGTTACTGACTAATATGTCTAATTTAGGCAGATACCAAAGAAGCATTGAGCAATATTATGCAAAAGCTTGTAACTTGCAGTATTAATACATAGGCTCTGAGAACTCTATATTTCAGTCATGAAACTGCCAATCAGATCAAATGATTATCAATGTTAACATTAATGAAAGTAGAAAAGCCATTTGGGTAGAAACTTAAAATGTTATTTTCTGCCTTTCAGATTTGCTTGTTGCTGCTTGAACTCCAATTTGAATCCTTCTTCAGAAGCAGGCCACGATTAGAGGAATAAAAGGGTTTCATGTGGCAGGAGTAAAGTAGCACTGTCACATCCCATCAATCTTCTAAGTACCAACTCTCATACACCCATCACTGCCCTGTTTCACACCAGCTCCAACAGAGATTTTCCCAAGAAATAAGTTTCAAGCTATTTTAGTTCCCATCACTACTGTCCATTTGTCATAACTGAAAAAAAATATCCACTATATTGCAAAAAGATTCTGTTATCCAGTATTTGCTAATTATGATTGAGACCAGAAACATATAAAGTTTCAAAGAAAACAATTGAAGGGAACATCTGAAAATAATTTCCCCCTATCCTTTGTTGTTCTGCTACTCACGGCAAATCTTCCAATCTGGAGGCTTCATGTCTTGGATCCAATAGATCATAACCACATTCATTGTAGATTTCCAAGTAGGAAATGTGTGTTGTATATATTTTGCTGCTGTCCTGATTGAAAAAGAGTAAGACATGATTTAATGACTACAAATAACAATTCATTTTAGAGAAAGACGAACACATTTGTCAATGTAGTTTCCTCACAGTTTCTCCCCCATTCTCACTCACTCTATGTGGTTTACATTTTCAGTTCGTGACACTTTCAAGTTGCCAGTTCCCATATGCATGGAACTTTTTTCTTTCTTTTCTTTTCTTTTTTTTTTAATGGTCAACTCCCATGATTACAAGTAACTTCAGTCTGTTATTTTTTATTGGTTCCACGTTATACATAAAAAGTCGATGTATACATACAATGAGCCAATTTGGTTGCAGAACTATATAACACACCATTTTTTACTTTCTAAACCAAAAAAAAGTTACTAAGAAAATACACACTTATGTTCTATGAATAGTCAATTCATAAAAAAGCACAGATCATTTCTTTGGTTCAAAAACTTCAGAAACAAAACAGTTTCCATCTTTAATAATAATTCTTCTTTTCCACTTTTGTAATATTTGAAAACTTTTCTGGTGACATAAATAGATAAAAATGAAATTAAGTCCCCAGGACAGAAGATAGCTTAGATCAGTCAGGTAAGAGAGAACACTAACAATTCATACCTTGCTTGTTGGGTTAATTCTCCTGGCTCAAGTGGGCAAATCAGGGATATTCGTTTATGGGTTAGAGAAAGGTGGCTTCTGTGGCCATTACTAAAATGTAATGATGTAGTTATCAATGCAATTAAGCTAAAAGTCAAGATAACAAGTCCTAGTCTCAGTTCTACTAACAGAAAAAAAGGACCCATTCCTTCTGAGGTGGAATATAGCAGGAATATTTTTTAGCTCTTGAGGGAATTCCAAGTTCAGTTTTCCATACAAAATATCAAAATGAGAGTACCTCCTTTTTGTTCCTTCAAAAACACAAATGCTTCTATTTCTGCAAATATTATTATGTTTTTAATAAAGGGAGAATATATTTGAATCTTGTGGCAAGAAAACTGTCATAGTGGACAGTAAGAGGATTTGCCTCAGATGACATTCCTGATTCTCAACCGTATACAAGAACAATCCATTTACTAGCTGTTGCTCAAAGGGAGACAGAACAAGTCACAGAGACTAGGGAGGGAACAGTGGCCTGTAAATCCAAAGCTGAAATCCCAGTCCCACCAGCTATGAAATTCTACCATTATCGGACCTTGGTTTTCACACACATGAAAGTGAGGAAGTGGATGATGAATCCCTATATATTCTTTAGTTTAAAATTAGTATGACTCATTGGTCCTAAAATGGCTCACACTATACCAATAAAGATATACCATCTGATATAAACAAAATGACACAAAAAATTTCAACCAACACATGAATAACTTTCAACCAATACATGAATATTATAAAAATACTCAAGCTACAGCTAAAATTCCATGTTCTGGTGTTCTGTGAAGGTGGCAACTTGGATTGAATTCCTATTAAACAAATTTCTCTCAACTAAGTTCTGGAATCCTGCTGATGTGACTTCAATGCTTATCCTAACAAATGGCCTGTTGATTACATTAGTATCCTGTGTTAGCAAAGGCACCATTTCAACATAATTGTTTGCATCGTAGCGTGGTTTAGTACAGGTCTCAGAGACTATAAACCTGAGACAGATTATAAGGCTGCTAGTCTAATTCAGTGTTTCCCAAAACAATCCATGAAATACTCCTGGAAAAAAGTGTACCATGGTCAACATAAATACTCTGCTCCTCCCTGGAGGATTATCAGAGCATGTTAAAGGCCCTAGAGATCCTTCAGCCATGTTGTGAGATCCTGTTCTAAAATTTTTCTGAATATAGATGAAATGTACCAGAGATTATGGTTTGAGATCTTAGCATACAGTTCTGAGCTTTTAGCATCAGACAGAACTGGGTTTGAATACTGTATCTACTAGTTATAACTGAGTGATCCTTGATTATTTCACCATGATAATTAATCAGTGAATAACAGCTCTGATCTTTCAGAACTGTTGTGATGAAGAAATAAGGCTATATACTTAAAATCCTACCAAAAAATCCTTAACCATCACAGGAACCAATGGACCATTGTTACTGCAGATATTATCATTGTCACTTATTTTGTTTTATTTTTGGTACTGGGGATTGATTCCAGGGGTTCTCTACCACTGAGCTATACCTCCAGGCCTTTCCAATTTTATTTTTGAGACAGAGTCTAAGATGCTGAAGCTGGCCTTGAACCTGCAATCCTCCTGCCTCAGCCTCCTGAGTATCTGGGATTACAGGTGTATGCTACTACATCCAGCTTATCATGGATACTACTTTAAATTATTATGTCCAGAAGCCTCCAAATGAAGAATTCAGTACGTGAATATAAAAGGAATGGAAAAGAAATGCAAAGAGAATAATTTATATGTTCATTTTCAGTGAAGAAATTCTCTTCTTCCAGAGAGTTGAATAAATCATAAAAGTCAGGAAAATGGCAGGTCTACTGCTCTGAGATGATAGGGATAATGGCTTTGGCTCCTCCAGCTTCTGCATTTTCTGAACTTTTATTGGAATACACACTAAAAATTCATTGAGCTTTGTGGCAAGCTACCTTTCCTTATTACTTCTTTTTAGTGTCTAGGTTGCCAGACTGTAATATAACACACATGTGTCCCACAGACAGCCTCGTCTCCAGCCCCCAAACAAGTTTGAAACTCACAATGCTCAAAAATAATGAGCAGCGATTTCTAAAATAAATGGAATCAATTTTCTTCTCTAATCAGTGAAAATGGGACTGGGGATATAGCTCAGTTGGTAGAGTGCTTGCCTCATATGCACAAGGCCCTGGATTCAGTCCCCAGCACCACACCAAAAAGAAAAAAAAAAATCAGTGAGAATCAGTGTTCTTATCACTCTCACAGGTACTTCAGGACCCAGTATACCCTGGACTCCTAGTTTATCTTGAAATAAAGACTTTGCATAAGTCAAATGTTCCTTTAAGAATTCTAGAGAGGCCTGGGGCTACAGCTCAGTGGTAGAGCACTTGCCTAGGACATGTGAGACACTGGGTCTAATCCTAAGCACCACATAAAAATAAATAAAGTATTGTGTCCATCTACAATTAAAAAAAAAATTCTAGACAGTTCCATTGGCCCTCTAAAGGCAATTAGCTGAAGACCTCTCAGTACCAGTCCACATTCCTCAGCCACATAAAGTAGACAAACTTCATGATACACTTTAAGTTGCCTGACTAATTTCACCACAGTCCAGTGTGACTTTAAATGGATGTGCTGCTCCCCATCGTGGAAATCTGGCCATTTCCAAAGAGTTGCCCTGGCTATAAATTGGTCTGATAGGCTTTCTCCAAGTCCAGGAAGTCATTTAGGATCATTCAGAATAAAATGAGGTTTAGAGCCATGCCAATGACAAACAGATCTAAAACAGTGAACCTAACAGATGTTGAGTACTTGGGAGACATTTAGATTTTAGAACTGTATTTCAGTAACCAAAGATGAAATTTTAAAGAAGTTGAAAAATATTTTCCATTAGTAGAGGGTTTGTTTATTCTGTTTAATTTAATCAGGGAAATTGGCTTCATTTGTTTTGAGTTTCAAAGGGTTCTCTGAAATTGGTCAGGGATCGTTCAGCCACATCCACTAACATGAATATTAATGGCTGTGCTAATATATAATAATTATCATGTACTGAGCATATACTGTGTGCTAGGAACTGGACAATATCTTAAATACCATCTGTCTAGCCCTCACAGCAACTCCATATAATGGGGACCTTAAGCTACATGCTGTCAGAAGTGCACTTTCTCAGAACCAGGCCAGCCGGCTCCAACACCAGTGATCTTTCCAAGACAACAGGCTTCCCGATTAGGCCACAGCAACAAAAACTATTAGAAACTACATTCCCAGTTTGTGAAATCTGGGAACAAAACAAAATTGTTAATGTCAGAAATAAATGAGTAAATGAAAAATGGGAGTTCATGACCCACTTGAGTCAAATGTATGAAAGATGATATATCATGAGCTTTGTAATGTTTTGAACAACCAATAAAAAAAAAAAGAAAGAAATGAGTAAATGAAAAGAAGGACCTCAAATCTGGCACACACGCTATGCTCAACTCTCTCTTCCACGTTTTCTGGCGTGCAGAGTTGGCATGCTTGAGCTAATAAGAGATGAGCTGAACTAATGGATAATTGCTACTTTATGGCTGGCAATTAGAATTATGCAGATCTCAGCAATTTCTTCACATCTTTGTAATTCAAAATGCAAATAACATACAGTAGAGAAATTTTGGAGTGACTGTTACATTGACCTACTTAGGACATTTACTATACAGAATTAATACAACCAAAGAACTGGGGAACTAGAAGGGATGCTGAGGACTCTCTAGTACAATTCAATCCCTACTTCAGAGTGGAGAAAATTAAACCCATAGAACCTAAATAACTCATTATAGGGAATTTGCTTAAATATGACCAATAAAATAAAGCCAGTCTGAGCCACAGAGGAGTGTATGTAGTGGCAAAAAGCACAGAATATGGTAAGATAGACCTGAGATGAGCTCCAGCTCAACTCTTCCTAAGATGTGGACCCAGAGAAAAATATTTAAACAGAGGCTCAGTTTTTCCCATAAGAAGGGGATAAAGATACTTACTTTGTTAGTTGTACTATATGTTGTATTAAATAATGATAAAATATAAGGCATTTGGAGGAACTCAATAAATGACATAATAAAGACAGGGATGCTGGGCACAGTGGTGCACACCTGTAATCCCAGTGGCTCAGGCAAGAGGATCACAAGTTCAAACCCAGCTTCAGCAATGGCGAGGAGCTAAGAATTCAGTAAGACCCTGTCTCTAAATAAAATACAAAATGTGACTCAGAGGTTGAGTGCCCCTGAGTTCAATCTCTGGAGAAGGAAGGAAGGAAGGAGGGAGGGAGGCAGGGGAAAGGGAGGGAGACAGGGAACACTCTTTATAAAACTATAATGTTCACTGCAATGGAATTTGTACTCTGGTATACTACTTTGGCTTCTTTCTGGGAAAAAGTAAGAACTATACTATCCTATTTAGTGCTTTAGTAGCTAGAAGAAAGGTCTGCTTGGTTAAAAGACTATTTCTCAGTTTCTTTCATGTTTTTTTCTGGTACCAGGGATTGAACCCAGGGGCACTGAAACACTTGAGCCACATCCTCAGTCATTTTTATATTTTATTTTGAGACAGAGTCTTGCTTGGGGCCTCACTAAATTGCTGAGGCTGACTTGGAACTTGTGATCCTCCTGCCTCAGCTTCCCAAGCGCTGGGATTACAGACGTGCACCACTATGCCTCAGTTTCTTAACGTGGAATATAAGATTTTAATTGGTAAGATGTATTATTTGCTCTTTTAAGCTCTGTGACTATAGCAGAAAGAACTCCCTTTGCTCAGGTGGCAGCACTTTAATGAGAAGGACATTCTTAATTTTTACTTATCCAGAAAAATCTTAACCTTGCTTCAAATGTAAAGGTTGGAGCTATTACACAAAAATATTTTCTCATTTTGATATAATATAATATCACAATAATTTTTCTGTGCACAGTAAATTTCTGCTGAATCTATCAAATACAAAATGAACTTAGTTTTATACCTTTTGTAACTGCTCAAAAATGTATGACAGCGTCCTTGGGATAATGCCTCTGTCACTGTAACGCTCAGCCCCACCTGTGATAGTGAATGTCTTGCCACTGCCCGTTTGTCCATATGCAAAGATGGTACCGTTGTAACCTGCCAGCACACTGCAATGAAGAAACGGCACACTTTTAATACCAAAATGACTACCTGCATTTGTATTAGATGACTTGAATTCTAATAGCAACCTTATTAGATTCTATGGAAAAGATATTTATAGAAATACCTACAGAAATATTTAATTATGTGACTATGTATTACATTTTAATTCATCAATATCAGCACATTGATCCTTTTCTCTAAGAAAGAACATGTGGCCCCATAGAGTCCAGTTATCTTAAAATATTGTCTTTGTATTTTAGTATGCTAGACTTGAATCAAAGAATATGTTGAAAAAAATATCCTGGGGAAATAACACCTGTAATTTGGCCCACTGTCCACCCGATGCCTGCTACCTCACCTGGTCACTTCCTAGGATACTAGAATACACACAGGTTACTACTATGTACCTTGTAATGTGATTCCCTACTTAACTCTCATCACCAACTGAAAATCCTCTAGGAATGTCCCTCCTCTCCTTTCTTGGAATGACTCTTTTTTTAAGAAGATGCTGGTCCATGTGTGTTCTTCAGCCCTGCAAAAAAGCCCTTGATTTGATGGAGGTCTCAAGAGCCCTGGATCATCTCAGCCTCTGCAGACCACTACCTATAACAAGACACTTCGAACAGTGTGCATGACATGCTTCGGGCTTTCAAAAGTGGGTCTTTTTCTAGGCTACATGGAACAGTAAACTCTTGCAGCTTTACTTCCTTTTATTTATTTATTTTTTGTTATATGTGGCTCCTTGATCTCAAGATTTTTTCATCAATCTAGCTATGATGCTGTCGGCTAATGTCACCCACATTGTGAGTGGTTGTTTTCAATAGATGACTCCTCTGCGATCACTCCTCATGGTTCACGTTGGGATTCCTGCTCTGCTGCTGAGATCCTGTTCACAGTTCTTTCTAGGCCTCTTTATACCTCGGCTGCATGCCGAGCGACCAGTCATCACAATTCCCCTTCAAAACACACAGGTGTTGCCTAAAACTTTTTATGAAGTGGTTAGATAGGTTCATAGCATCTTATGCAACTAACCACCTAACAATATGGTTAACAAATTAATACATCTTTTGTTCTGTAAGCAGGTGATATTGATGCTTACAAATTGAAAGGACTCAGGGAGGGAGAAAAGAGATATTACTATTATGTGGTTCACCTTTCTACTTTTGAGAAACTTAATCATTTTTTTTTATGTGTCTTCACAGGAAGACAGTAGACTGTTGAAATTTTAAGCTTGTAAGGTGTTGGAATTACCGTAATGCATTTAGGTGGATGATTATAGAATCTTTTTCTTCAATAGAATCTATCACCAATGAAACAGAAATGTCCCATTATCAAATCTCATTTGGATATATGGTATTTCTTGGCCATAAATGCTCTGTGTAAATGAAGTCTGTAACTTTTAGTATCAGACCTAAAATGTTTTATTGATTCTGGATATAAAAATTTCTAAAATATATTAGGCATTATCTATCTTGAAAAGTAATGAATACTGAGTAAAAATTAACACTTTCATTCTGACACAGATATCGCCTTTGGAAAGTGAGTACTACAGCATGCTCCACTGGTACTTGCTGATTGTTATGTCTACTTTTTTAATACTTACATCTTCTTTCTCACTATCAACTGTTCCTGCCTACCTGTCTCTAATATATGTTCTCCCTAACCTCATCTGCTGTGGGATGGAAAATTACATGGCACAGTTTCACAGGACACTGTATGAAATTAAAAGGATGTAGGTTCTACCTTTAGATACTCCCATGCGCATTTATTACATTGTTACAATATGAAATTAAATAAAGAAATGACAACAGGCAAAGTTTATTTCTAGTTCCTTTATCTAGAGGTCCTGCATCCCAACTCCATCTTTGGATTGAGTGTCCATTCTTTACTGGGCCCCAGGTGTTTATATCTTCTTCTAGTCTCATCTGTCTTAGAGAAAAAAATAAAGAAATAGAAATGGTGGTGTAAGAACCTTTGACAATCTGTTCCTTCACAAGAATAATCATAGCAGTGGAAAAAATGGTCAAAATTGACTTTCTCAGAACAGAACCCTGGAAATTATCCAAAGATATACAATAATCCAAGGAATGTTTATTTAAGAAAAACAGCTGAAACTCAGTAGAACAGCAGGCTCCACAGTTTTAGCTTGAAAATCCTCAGCCCTCTTTCCGCAGCTCCATGGTAGCCTTGAAAAACTACAGCCTCAAAGCCACAGGGGCCGTGAAAACCAGGAGCCTAAATATCACTTCAGGGAGCAGGACAGGTTTGGAACTCCTCAAAACCCTATCCCCAAAGAAATCTTTTAAGCTCTGTGACTGTAGCAGGAAAAGAGGCATGAGACAGGAACTATTGATGAAAACCCGTAATAGGTGTAGATACAACATTACAGAATTCTATAATGCTATTCAAAGGAATAAACAAGTTTAATAAAGTTGCAAGACACAAGATCAATTTACAAAAGTCAAGTGTATTTCTACACAACATCAATGACCAATCTGAAAATAAAATTCAAATATAAATTTTAGGAGAAGCTCATCTCTGACCTTTCTCACAGCTCCATGAAAAAGCTTCATTTACAGTATAAAACTTGTCTGTGATCTGACTCAGAGCTACTCAGGATGAGCAACTCTATCGCCAGGGTATTTGTTGAGAACAATCCATGGAAAATATCTAACATCGAAGCTGCCTAAGGCTACAATACCAGCAAGGTCAACAAGAAGGTGACCAAACATTTAAAAGAAAAATCTGTGAAATAAGACATCTGTAAGGTGCTTTGAAAAGCTCTGACATGTTGCTTGGGACTTTAGAGGCCACACACACACACACAACACACACGTTCAGGACTATGGGCATGCCCAGAACATACTTGAGAAAGTCCCTGAGACTCTGCACATGCTGGAAGTAAAGGGTAAGGCAGAGATACAGACTGATGGCTCAAGGCATTTAAAGAAATCTCTGTTCAATCATTAACTCACCACTAAAGTAATTGTATATAGATTTCAGAAGCTGCACATGGCAAACATAGAGGTAAATAAGGTGATCAAAAACTTAAAAGAAAATAATACATGGAATAAGATGGCTATGAGGGGCTTTGAAAATCACTGACATATTCATATATAGACTTTACAAAATTAAACCAGAACAGTCACTAAATAAACAGGCAGAAGAACAACAATAACACCTAACAACAACAATAAACCCTGGGGAGAATAGGAATCTGATTTCTAAGGCTGTCATAATATTGTACTGCTATAGTATTTTATATATATATATATATATATATATATATATATATAATACACATTTGTTATATATAACAAATGCTCAGTTTTCAACAACAACAAAAAATTATAAGACACAAAAAGGAATAAGAAACTATTGCCCATATATAGGAAATAAAATGGAAATAGTCCTTAAGAAAGCCCAAATGTTATTTTATCAGGTAAAAATTAAATTAGCTACTATAAATATATTTAAAGAATAATAGTAAAATATATTTAAGGAATTAAAGAATAAAAGAAAATTATGTCTCATTGATTAATGAAAAAGTAACTTATTTTAAAAGAACCAAATAGAAATTATGGGATTGAAAAGTAAAGTAACCAAAATTAACAGCAAATTTGATTTGGTATAAGAAAGAATAAGTGAGTTTGAAGATAGGTCAATTGATATTTTCCAATCTCAGGAACAGAAAGGACAAAAAAATGAAGAAAAATGGAACAGAGGATTCAGAGACCAACATATCCATAATAGGAGTCCTAGAAGAATAGAGGAGAGAATATTGAAAGAAATTATGATCAAAAACTTAAAATTTTAATGAAAATCATCAATCTATATATCCAAGAAGCTTGATAAACTCCAAATAGAACAAACACAAAATATCCAAACCTAGACACATCGTGATCCGTCTGTCCATAAACAAAGAGAATCTTGATAGGAGCAAGAGAGAGTGACTGATCAAATACAAGGTTCTCGGTAAGATGAACAGTGGATTTCTCATTAGGATCCATGTAGGCCAGAGGTAATGGGATAAAATATTAAAAATGCTGAAAGTGAAAGATTGGTCTGAATTTCTTTTCAGAAATTGATGAGCTTCTCCTAAAATTTATATTTGAATTTTATTTTCAGATTGGTCATTGCTGTTGTGTAGAAATACATTTGTCTTTTGTAAATTGATCTTATATCTTGCAACTTTATTAAACTTGTTTATTCCTTTTAATAGCATTATAGAATTCTGTAATTTTGTATCTACACCTATTACACGTTTTCATCAACAGTTACTGTCTCATGCCTCTTTTCCTGATAGGCCTTAAAAACTAGAAAAGGAGCTCTAATCTATCTTTACCTTGGAGTCTGCCACAAAGAAATTCTCTGACCTACCTTATCTGATAGTAGATGATAAGACCCTCTTATAGAGATCCCTCCTGTAGATACTGGCCAACTGAATGGGACTGAATAGGAGTTGGGTTTCCCTCTAACCAACAACCACAATATATGTGATCATGTCTTGTGCAAATAGAGATAATTTAGAGCTTTCCTTTTCAATCTGCACATTTTTTATTTCCTTTTCTTGCCTCAGTTCACTGGTTAGTTTGCTAGCAACAAATTCTCCCAGTTTTTGTTCTTCATTCATTATTGAATAGTAATTCTACCAGCCATAGAATTTTTTATTTGCATATGAAATAATTTTCTATATAGAAAATCCTAAGAACTCCTATGAAACTATTACAAGTACATATGTTGTAAGGTATAAGACAACATCAAAGACGGTAATCCTTGAGGCTGGGGGGGGGTGGTGTAGTTGAGTATAGAATGAAGGTGTTTGAGTTCAACTCTCAGCATAAGGAAAAAAAATAGATGGTAATACCTCCCAAATTGATCTACATTTGTACAATCTCTATCAAAATTCAGGCTGGCTTCTTTGAGGAAATTGGCATAATTCTCCTAAAATTTATATGGGAAAGCAGGGGATACAAAACAGCAGAAAAAAACATGGAAAGAACAA